GCCTAGGTCTTCCTCCTCGGTCGCGTAATGCCCGAGGCGCCCCAGCGCGGCCAGCCCGCCTGAGCCTTCCTCCTCGGTCGCGTAATGCCCGAGGCGCCCATGCGTGGCCAGCCCGCCTGGGTCTTCCTCCTCGGTCGCGTAATGCCCGATGCCCGAGGCGCCCCAGCGCGGCCGGCCCGCCTGGGTCTCCCTCCTCAGCCGCACAACGCCCAAGACACACCAGTACAGTTGGCACACCCGAAACCCCATCAAGGTAAAACGAACTGGACCGCCTGCCGCTTGAGACCGCCTCGACACTAAGAGACGCAGCCATGCCTCGAGCTCCCTTCCCCCGTCCCAACCGACGCATGGCTCCTTTTCGGGGGGGAATATGAAAGGGAAAATAACGGCCGGATGACGCGCCGTGACGACAGCCCCCGGAAAAGCAACAACGCTGACTAGACCCGCCCAGACAACTCCTGCTGTTGAACGGTGACCTCCGACCCCGCATGGTTGACCACGACAAGGCAGGACAATGACCTGCCCCCCGCCCATACCCTGCTACGAACCGCTCCTCCACGCGACCCCAGTAGCCGCGTCAGACGCCATCAGAGGTACCCCCTCACTCCAGCAGGTGGTCAAGTCAGGTAATGCTAACCTCCTCTATAAATACCCCTAAGTCCTAAGCAAAAAGGGGAACTCTCTCAACACACTCAATACTCAGAGGTTTCTCCTCCTCCAAAACCCCCTCCACATCTTTCGCTGACTTGATCGTCGGAGGGGTCGGGTCGAGCACCCCGACCCGACCTTGGTGCAGGTGCGAAGCCTTCGGAGACTCAGCGGGCCCGAGGAGCTCCCCCATCCTTTGATCACCACCTTCCGGACCCGAACCAAGCCGCGACGACCTCAGGGCCACGGCACGGGGGCCATTACGCCGTGGTGTTTCTGGGCGAGTGCCATTACGCCAACATACCCCCGAAGCCGAAGGTCCCCGTCGGACGCGCAGGCGAGGAGTTCCTTCCCGGAGGAGACTGTCGAGCCCCCCTTAGGGCGGCCTCTCGGCCCGAGCCACGTCGCTCGGCCATAGACTGCCCGAGTCCACCGCAGCGCGGCCTGCTCGCTTGAGTCGTGATCCTCGGCCTTTGCCATATTCCTCGGTCGCATAATGCCCGAGACCACCTCCTCGGTCGCGTAATGCCCGAGGCCACCACCTCGGTCGCGTAATACCCGAGGCCTCCTCGGTCGTGTAATGCCCGAGGCCACCACCTCGGTCGCATAATGCCCGAGGCCGCCATCTCGGCTGCGTAATGCCCGAGACAACCTCCTCGGCCGCGTAATGCCCGAGGCCACCACCTCGGTCGCGTAATGCCCGAGGCCACCACCTCGGTCGCATAATGCCCGAGACCACCTCCTCGGTCGCGTAATGCCCGAGGCCGAGCCGCGGGCGTGGGTCCGAGGGGCCGAGCGTCTCGGCCACTCGGCCTCATGCGCAGCCAACACGCTGACTCGCTGCCTCAGCCACTCGGCCTCATGCGTAGCCAACACGCTGCCTCACTGTAGGCGTCCGAGCCGCGGGCGTGGGTCCGAGGGGCCGAGC